GGTTGTCATCAATTGAGCCAAGGTTTGTCATTATCAAAACTCTGAAATGAAACAAGGAGGCATGAGTTCTAACAATTTCCCCCTTTTTGATAATGACAAACAACTAGAAGTATATGCTAATGTTTATAACATAGAGATGATAGAGATGATTCCCCCTATGTTTTACAAACTATAATTCCCCCTATCTTGTTGCATATACTTCTTCCTATCTTCCCCCTTTTGGCATTAGCAAAAAGAAATAGCAATGAGAAGAGGTTGGGAAGTGCTTATGTAAGAAATAAGTGGAGCTTTTGAAACATATTAGCTACACCTATACACTTCTATATGTGGTGAAGTGAAGAATGGTAAAAGGATGTTTAGAAAGCTTAGCTGAACATCGATGTTGTGATACTCAACATCGATGTATTGAGGCTTCTGCTCAAATTTTGAAGTTCTTCATCATCCCTTTGTTCCCCCTATGTTTTTGCCTAAATGAAGGGCACCTACAAAAACAACACTCATCCTTGCACTTCTACAAGAATTGATTAAGAGCTTGGATGCTTCTTTGGTTATTTGCTTGGAGCATCCGCAATCAAGGTACCAAAGTACACTTGATGCCTTCAAGCATACCTGCAAAACAAATCAAAGGGATTTTGGTACCCAAATCTTTTTGGGTCCTTGATGGTTAGGAACATAATAGTGATGAGCCTTATCTTGTGCCCAATGTCTATGCCTAGTAAAACATACCGGGGCAATGTGACCTATCCTATTACAATAGTGACAAGTAACGTTAGGATTGTGCATTCTTCTAGGTTGGTTATAGGTACCAAATTGCCTATGTTCATGCAATCTATCATACTTGTCTTTCCTAGGTATAACCCTGTTTTCCCTAGGTTGGGCTATATATGTCCTAGGTTTAGTGTGATGAGATTTTCCATTCCTATCATTGTAGGCATACATTTTAGCATAATGAGATTTTCCACTACTTGCATTTTGAGCATGTGACCTTCTACGATGAGTGTGTGATCTCCTATCTTGAACATGTGATCTAGTAAGATGAGTAGAAGATGAAACACTATGTTTATGTGTCTTAGCATTTAACACAGTAGGTTTGACATTATTTGACATATTAGATGCACCTAATCCTTCTTTTAGTGTTGGACTCCTTTGTTGTCCTAGAAGAAGATTAAGACTATCTCTACCATTAGTGAACTTCTCTAATGTATTCTTCAAATCGTCAACTTGATGCTTAAGAGATTCATTCTCTTTTCCCATTTCAACACAAGCACAAACATTAGAAGAAATCTTCTCATTAAGCTCATTGCAAGACATACTAAGAGCATGCTTTTCCTTTTCAAGCTTATCAATTTTACTTGACAACTCATCCTTATCATGTGATAATAATTCTACATTATTTTCTAGGGTCTTGTTCTGTTTCTTTAAGTTCTTATTAACATTTGAAACAGAAATGAATTTACTATACAATTCACTAAATGCATCTTGCAGCTCTTCAAATGTATAATCATCATTCGAATAGGAAGTACTTACCTCTTCTGGAGATTCTTCATTTGCCATGCAACAGAGGTTGACAGTTTTATCTTGCTTGCTGTCGGTTTCCTCATAGATGACTCCCAGCATTTCCCACATCTCCTTGGCCGTTGCGCAGTGCGAGATCATTTGATAGTCATCCGGATTGACTGCACATTGGAGCATGTGTATTGCCTTCGAATGGTTTTCGATTCTTTGGATGTCATCTTCGTTGAGCTCCACTTCCGTCCTTGATGGAATTTGAACGCCATTCTTTATCGTTAGCCAAGCTGCAAAGTTATTGGCTTGGATGAAGATTCTCATCCTTTCCTTCCAATATGCGTAATTTTTCCCGTCAAAGAATTGTGCCTGGGTAGTGGATTGTCCTTCAACGATTCCTGCATACAAATAATTTGAACAAGCCATGGAAATTTTCCTTTCAAACGGTTAAGTCTTTCAGAGAGTTAGGCTCCGCTACCAATTGTTAGGAACAATAGACTTAAGCTAGAGGGGGGGTGAATAGCTTATGATCGAAAATTAAAAACTTTGCAGGAAATGAAGTGCGGAATTGAAAAATAGAAGGACACAAGCGATTTATCCTGGTTCACACACACTCTACTAGTGTGGCTAATCCAGCCCTTCAAGTCTCACTTGAAGATTTCACTATCTACGTTAAGCTTACGGGTGCTTAACAAACCGTTACAACCTAGGAATTCTAATCACAAGAATCCTAAACCCTGAAAGTTCAAGTCACATGAACTTCAGCTCTCTTGCTTGAAGATACCTCACTTCAAGACTTCTCACACAAGAAGATATACCCTCTTCTTGTGAATCTAACCAAGGGAACTAACCTCCCTCAAGGTGTGTATAACAACACAATAATCACTCAGAACAAAAGACTCTCTCAAAGAGCAGGTATGAGTGTACAAGTGAAGCTCTAAAAGGCAACTCTCAAATCCTCAATAGGACATTGGCTCAACAAAGATTGATTTGAGTGTATGAGATGAATGCATGTAAGTAGAGAGTTGATTCACTTTGAAACACAGCTAAAAATGCTCAATTTATAGCTTTGAAAAGTTATAGAGTCGTTTTAAATCCACCCAAAGACAGCCTTAAACAAAACATAGTGGGTGCTGAAAAGTTGTCTGCTACAACGGCAAAACATCGATGTTTTCACTTTAAACATCGATGTTTTAGCCAGCAGTTTTAAATTATTGCTCCAACGGCTAGTAGACCATCGATGTTTGTCTGCGGAACATCGATGTTTTCATTACAACATCGATGTTCTCTAAACCAACATCGATGTTTTTTGGCTTCGCAAAAATATGATGAAAAAGGGTCTATGCCAGAACATCGATGTTGGAAAATGGAACATCGATGTTTTTGTGAAACATCGATGTTCAAATGTCCAACATCGATGTTTTTTGGCTTCGGCAAAATTATATTTCAAAGACAGTTTTCATGAACATCGATGTTGGATTGTAAACATCGATGTTTTGACCAACGGTCACAAGAACATCGATGTTTTGTAATCCAACATCGATGTTTTAGAGCTACTGCCAATATTTTGAAAAACATGAAAAACAGAACATCGATGTTTGATTTCACAACATCGATGTTTTGGACTAAAAACACATCTTTATGTTTGAAAACATGCTAATGAATTGTATGATTGAAATGTGTTTTGTTTGAGCCAATGCCTAAGAGAAGTTGAGTGTTTTACCTTGTACAAATGGGTCCTAACTTCTCTTGCTCTTCTTGTACTTCAACTCTTGATCATATCTTCTCTTGAATTCTTGATCACTTTGGTTGAGCACTTGTTTGCTTGATTTCTTTTTGCTTCAAGGTTGTCATCAATTGAGCCAAGGTTTGTCATTATCAAAACTCTGAAATGAAACAAGGAGGCATGAGTTCTAACAACCTCTAATTCACATCCAAGAGGACACATTTTCTTTTTCACACACATCCCCACAAGCTTAAATGCATGGAGAAACTCTACTTCTCGAAGCTGAGAAATAGTTTTGCAAGTAGAAACTCTTGATGAATTTCGTGGAGAGGAGCATCAAGAAGCAACCAGCAAGAGGAGAACAAGAGGACGAAGCAATCAAAAGCAATCCGGAAGCCAAGAAGGTGGGTGAACCCGAGTTGGGGTTCCTGATGCAAGCAGTCCTAAAAAATAATTCATATATCGAGTTCTAGAAGTAGGATTGCTGCGATCTTGGATTCTCTGAAAAGCTAAGAGGGAGACCTACAATTTTTCTGTTGAGCCCAGAAGCTGAGTCGATCGTTTTCATTGTCTAAAATCCAGTAGAAGACGATTTATAAGTACTTTAATTCCTTTTTGATTGCGAATCTTATTGATTACTATTGATTTGATGATTTGGTGTTGTTGATGATGCTTTTGTTGATGAAGTAAGTGTTGTGTGACGCCATGATAAGAATTACGTGGGCTATGAACCTGGGCGTCAGGGTACGTAGGTGGTTTCTAGTTCTAGAAACTCAAGCCCATTTATTTTATTTTCCCTTTTTGTTCCATTTCAATTTTGGTTAATTTGTGTGATTTGTTTCCACACAACACATACTTTCACAAGGCATACAATTATTCCTCAATTGCACAAAGTTTCGCCCCAACATGGACGGGTGTCTAACACCTTCCCATCCGTGACGAACCCCTGGGCCCAATTTCTCAAGTTCGCTATTCGGTTGCCTTAAATGGAGTCATTGAGATTCAAGAATAGTTCTTCCCGAATTTTGTCCTGTAACAAAATTCGGGTGGCGACTCCGAAGATATTGGGTGACGGTTAGGAAGAAAGTGTAAAGAGATAGGTGAGGAGGCCCAATCAACTTTGGGTCGGGTCTTCACAGAATGGACTTCACTATTTCCAACAAATTATTTTAATTTCCTTTTGAAAATAATTATAGAAGTAATCGATAAATTATTATTTTTCAGAACGCACGCCTTAAGCGACAAAAAAAGTTTGAAATTTTTTGGGAATTAGTTAAAGGAAAAACGTTTGAAGGCTTTTTTTTTAAAAAAACGTTTGAAGCTTTAGCATACATAGCATTCCTTATCTTTACTTTTGTGGCAAGAGGGAGTTGTATAAACATTAGAGGATATGCATTGCAAATATCGGAAGGCAAATATAGGACTTTTCCTTCCGTTGGGTGATAAGTAAACAAAAGTACTGGTACTTTCGACCCAATTATCAGTATAATTGGAATCCAAATCTGGCAATTCCAACTATTCCGTCGTGAAAGCATTTATCTACCACTACACTTATTTCTGCTTCTTTAATGATCTACATACGGTTGTCTTTCTCTTTCTTAATAATCTATAAGCCATCATCCATCTAGTCCAGACTGCATTGTTGGCAAGCTATATATGGACACACTTCAATCTAATTGTCCAGCATAAATTCAACCATTGAATTCAAGCTCCATCATGACATCACCAATAGAAGAGTAGCACATAAAATTTCACTTTCATTACCACCATGTCATCCCCTACCGGACGGGAGCTTACCATCTATCTCTATCTCTTTTCTATTATTGCGGTCTTCCCATTTCTTACTTCAGCCAGTAGCTCCTTGAAGTTTGATCTATTTGGCAACATGTACAGAGTTCATGTCATCAATGGCTTCAGCAGCAATGACCTGCCATTTTTACTTCATTGTTGGTCGAGCAATGACGATCTAGGGCACCATAGTCTCTACATTGGCGGTGACTTTAACTTCCACTTTGGCCTCCGGATTATACCTCCCTCTACCCGTTTCTGGTGTGACATGAACCGCGGCCCAAAATATATTCCTCAAGTTAGTGTGTTTGAGGAGGATGAAGTGCTGCATTTGTGCAGCCACACGCAGCAATGCTATTGGCGGGGGCAAGATAACGGACTCTATTTCTGCAATGATAACTCCTCCTATTTCAAGTTGTATGACTGGTATATCAGAAAAAAGGAAAGGTGAGTGACTGGAAATAAAAATGATCTTCATATTCCATTCCCTAAAAGAAATATTAATTATCTTCGTACATTTCAACGACAAGATAACGTGAACGGTTGTGACATAGGCTTTATAACTATGTCTTAGTAAAAGAATTGTAAGAATTGTATTAGAGTTTCCTATTTTACAGAATAATATTTTGAGTGAGTTTGAGTTTGAAAAAGAGATCATTGCTATGCGAACCAGTCCAAAAACACAAATCCAGGAACATCTCACCTGTCTTCGAGTCCCCACCTAAATTTTTATTATTAGTAAAAAAAATTCGGAAAAAATTACTGCTCCTTAGTCGCCCGCCATTAATTAGACAACCAAGCAAACCAAAAAAAACAAATTTGGGGATTGATAGTGGCTCTGGAGTGTATCATGTAAGTGCACAAGGTAGTTGTAGTACTCTATCAAGATCGTATGCACAGAAACTGGGATGAATCTGTCACTTCTTACCTTAGACGAATTAGGCTTGAGACAATCAAACAAAAATGGATTATGGGGTGAGTGCAAATCGAAATTAATTTATGTAAGAGAATAAAAAAGTAATAGTAATGTTGAAGTAGGTGAAAAGCAGGTTTTGGTGAAATGTTAGGCATCCAGGGATTCACATGTCTTGCCTTTATGTTCTAAATTGCTCAACAGCATCCTCACAGGCTGGGCCTGTGTGACACCCTATGTTTAATAAGATGTCTTGAAGGGGATCCCAACCTAAAGTACTACCAACGGCTTTCGATCTTATTGATAGTTCTCTAAGCTTCCATCTACCCCCTGTCACTAGAGTAGACGTCCACTTAGAGGTGAAGTAGGTATTGGTGCTAATTATCAATAGTCTCTCCCTATCTTCTTTCGAACGCAAGAGGGGGATTTTTTCTTCTCTTTCTTTTCTGCTAGAAAACAAAACATAGGCTGGCTACATTATCGTAGGAGAGTAGCCATGCCTATATTTCTTGGAGTGAACTCTAAGCGAATAGGAAGCGCATGAATACAAGTTATGCCTTGAAATGAAAGACAATTCTGAATCCGCTTTGTCTACGAACAAGGAAGCTATAAGTAATACAACTAAGAATCTCACGGAGAGTCTGGTTCCGGCTCAGGAAGAACGCTGGCGGCATGCTTAACACATGCGAGTCGGACGGGAAGTGGTGTTTCCAGTGGCGGACGGGTGAGTAACGCGTAAGAACCTGCCCTTGGGAGGGGAAGAACAGCTGGAAACGGCTGCTAATACCCCGTAGGCTGAGGAGCAAAAGGAGGAATCCGCCCGAGGAGGGGCTTGCGTCTGATTAGCTAGTTGGTGAGGTAATAGCTTACCAAGGCTATGATCAGTAGCTGGTCCGAGAGGATGAACAGCCACACTGGGACTGAGACACAGCCCAGACTCCTACGGGAGGCAGCAGTGAGGAATTTTCCGCAATGGGCGAAAGCCTAGGGAGTGAGGGCTGATTGTTGTTGGTCAAGCTCACTTGGCTTCTCCTTTCGGTCCTTCACCAAGCTGCTACTAGATTTAAGATAGACTGCTCAATAATCAATCAAGAATCAGATTAAAAATGGTGTCATTTTCTTGACTATGCTGCAACAGGCTGAGACAGTGCTGAGTCCGTGACTGAGCCTGTCGAGAACACAAGGTCAATTACACAGATTGGTTCTTGCTGGCGCTCTCAACCTATATTGAACCCATTTGTTTTCACTCACAAGTTCCACCCAAAGTTCTCACTCATCCTAATGCTTTCGCATCGGTCAAACTAAGGGGATTAAGAACTGGTGTTGAGGCTAATTCCTCAATTAGTTCCTAATTTCTTTCGAAACTAAGAGCTAAGGGTTGGTTGTTGTTGTTGTTGTTGTTCCAACAACTATGGTTTCTCCTTTCGGTCCTTCACCAAGCTACCTATAATCATGTATGGGTTTGACCAAGACTCAAACATAGAGCGAGTTTACAACAACCACACAAGAAAAACGGTTAAGTACATAGGAAGAGCAATTTATTGCACTAAGAACAGAGACATGCTTCACCCCTTCAACCTAAGAGGGGTTGTTTAGTTCATAATCAAGATTACAAAATCAAAAGAAACTAAGGGTAGCATAATGTTTGGAACCAAGCTGGAGGTTAGGGACAACACGATTTCTGCCCAGAAACGGCTGCAGAAATGTGTTTTCCCCTTTAACCCTTTTGTTCCAAAGTTGTGCAGGTTTATGGGTACTGATCCGGGGGGTCCAGTTCGATGCTTGTTCTTCCTTTCTTCTTCTTTTTTATAGGCGCAGATTCTTCTCTTCTATCTTTTCCCACGTGCTGGAAGGCATGGCAGTTGGGCAAGTTGAGTTTCAGTTGCCCATCTTGCTCCTCGAGATAAGGCACCATGAGAGGCGTGCCGAATGGGTGAAATCTGCAAATATGCAGATTTTAGAAGACTTAGGGGGAGGATAATAGTTCTTTAATTGTTAAATTCATTGGGTGTAATGATTATCCCCTCTTTCCCATGCTTAAAGTCTTCTAAAACGCTCAGGTCAAGATTGCAGAGTTAAAGGTTTTGCAAGTGGCTGAGTTTAATATTCTTTTCCTCGCGTTTTTGGTCATCTGCAGATTTCACAGGCTCAGCCTGTGCTGAGCCTGTGCCTGAGGCTATGTGCAATCTCTTTTGATTTCTCCAAACATTTGAATTCAGTTCTTCTTGAGATTGATGTGGTGGCATGATGGCTTTGTGGATCAAGGCAAAGGTGGTGAAATCTATTGGACAGGCTGAGCCTGTACCTGAGGCTATGTGCAATCTCTTTTCCTTTCTCTCAGCATTTGAATTCAGTTCTTCTTGAGATTGATGTGGTGGCATGATGGCTTTGTGGATCAAGGCAAAGGTGGTGAAATCCATTGGATAACTTGTGATTGGAGGTGGATTCATGGCTTTTTACTGGTTTTGCAATGAACAACAGGCTCGAAACAGGCTCATGCTGTGCCAGAGGCTGTTTCATCGAATTCTCCAATAAATTCTCCAAAATTCTTCAAAATGTACCTGGAATCACTAATCATGTAGTAAGGGATGGGATTTAAAGGAATATGATGAAATAATGCAAGGCAAGTCATATAATCATGGTAAATTGGGAGTGAATACTTCTAAAATCATGCGTAAAAACCATGCACATTTCATGTGTATCAAAATATCCCAAACTGAGGATTTTGTTTGTCCTCAAGCAAATTGGAAAAGAAGGCATGATGTTGAAAGGAAGTAAAGACAATTCCAATGCATCAGAATTTCATCAGGTTTCTTCCTTGTGGTGTCCCAATTTAGGCATCCTCTTATTCTTTCTTAAAACTGCTTCGATTCTAATCAAATTTCTTGTCAGTATTCTTGTCATAAAAAATCACAGGAATAATTTTGCAACTTGCGTCCATTTCTTCAGTCATTCGAGTGATTCAGTTAAAGAATGAAATGTGAAAAACAATACCTCATTTGCAGACCCATTACCTCTTGTCTCCTCTATTGTGCATAAGTCATCGAGCTAGGATCACTAGGACTTTATTCGTGTTGTATTAAGGCTGGGTGAGGGTTGTCAAAGAAAGGTGGATGGTTTTTGCAAAGGTCAACGGCTTGTGAACTCGATTTCTTTTCTTTTTGTTTATGAACAGCATGAGACAATGTAGAGGCTGTTGGACCTTGTATTTTCTACGGTCTCATGCTATTCAGTAACTGTTTCCCAATACTTCAACCATCTTTGATGTAACCATTGACTCCAACAAATGGATTGGATTTGTGTTTCTTGGTGGAGTATGATTTTCAGATGTTGCCCTTGTCCTTCCTCCCTTTCTTTATTTTTGTTTTTTTTTCATTTTTTTTCTTCCCGTATGTTTCTTTTCCTCATTTTTCTTTTTCAAGGGAGGAGGGAGTACATGCATCTGGTGGTATCCTAATTTTTATATTGGCTGAGTATGGACAGTCTCATTTTCCTAATCTTGATCGAACCTTGCTCACAGGCTCATTGACAGGGTGAGGCTGTTTGAAGGAATTTGTGCCCATAGACACTGATGGCCCCTGCTTATGGCTGCAAATGGTTGAGGGTAGACTGTGCAGGGTATTTGAATGAAATGAGGGCCATCTTAATTGGCTCAAAGGGGTTGCAAGGGTTTGATGAGTGGGGTGTGGGATGGTGTAGTCTGTAGGTGTGCTAAAAATAGCCTAGATCCTTTCCTTGCTTGTAGACTTTGCTTAAAATTTTGCCTTGACAGAGGTAGGAGCCTATTCTAAGGTAAACAAGCTGAGTCTGTTTGTTTAGAAAAATTTTTAACTGGGTCCTTCTTTCGGCATAATTCATGGAATGCAGTTGCTTAATTATTCATGTTCTGCTTGTTTTGGAAAAAAAAAATAAGACAAGTCATAAGATTAGGGAGTTGAGCAGAAATAAATGGAAAAAGAATGCATAAATATAAGAACAAGCTCACACTGGGAGAAACATAATAAAAATAGACGACAATTGAAATTGCATTGAACATTAAAAAATTCACAGAGTCATAAGATTGCACCCTAAAATACCCCAAATTGAAAATTTGCAGTGTCCTCATTGCAAAAACAAAACAAAAACAGGGTGCAATGCAATAACAAAGTCCCACAAAGAAAAGAAACACACTACCGAAAATCAAAAGACAAAAGGATTAGTCTAAGATACAATAACACAAAATACCCCAAACTGGAAGTCAAGCTATGTGTTGTGGGGTTGAGTTATCCTAGACTAGATTATTATGTGCTGCAGCGATAGGGAAATAAGACGGAAGTTCGACACAGACTCAGCCTGTGGTAAGGCTGTGGTGAGCCTGTGTAAGCATCAGAATACTCGTTTTTGCAAAAATATTGAAGCTAGCTATTATGAAAGGGTATAAAAGAACTTCCGTGACGAATTTCTGACTTGATGATTTCCTCCTCCATCATCTTGAAACACCTGATAACAAAACACACAAAGGAAAACGAAAAGAACAAACTGAAAGAAAATAAAAGAAAACTTAAAAATTATCACACTTGGTTTTCCCAAGTGCGTGCTTCTTTTACGTCTTTTAGCTGGACACCTCCTCATCTTGCTAGTTGGGAGGTGGATCATGGAGCATTTGAGTCGCCTAATATTCAATGGCTCTTGTACGATATAGCTTCAGCCTGTGTCATTTACCTCAAACGGATGTGTCTGTCCATCAGAATACTCCTTTTTGCAAAATTATTGAACCTAGCTATTATGAAAGGGTATAAAAGAACTTCCCTGACGAATTTCTGACTTGATGAATTCCTCCTCCATCGTCTTGCAGCACCTGATAACAAAACAAGCAAAGGAAAACGAAAAGAACAAACTGAAAGAAAATAAAAGAAAACTTGAAAATTACTGTTAGAATAGGTGCCCTACGCTAGAGGGGGGTGAATAGCGTTTTTCGGGCAAATTCAAAAACTTGCAGGAAATAAATGCGGAATTGAAAGAATAAGGACACACCAAGATTTATACTGGTTCGCACACACAACTTTTGTGGCTAATCCAGTCCTCCGAGAGACTCTCTCGAAGATTTCACTATCTAGGTTAAGCTTTCGGGTGCTTAACAAACCGTATACAAACCTAGAGCCCGAGTCACACGAAACTCTACTTGCTTGAAGATACCTCACTTCAAAACTCCTCTTAAGGAAAGAAAACACTCTTCCTATGAGTTGCTACAAGGGAACAATCATCCCTTAAGGTGTATGAACAACACTTTAAAAACACTCAAGTAAAAGCTCTCTCAAAGAGTGGATATGAGTAACAAATAAGCTCTATAAAGGCAACTCTCAATTCTCAAGGAAATTGGCTCATAAAAATTACAATGTATGTATGACAATTGATGCTTAAAATGTAGAGAGTTGATTATTGTTAAACATAGATGTAAATCCTCTATTTATATGTCTCAAAACATGTATGATCGTTATGGAATCAATCCAAAACACCTTTAGACAAAATGGCATGGGATGTTGAAAAAGGTGTCTGCTCAAAATGGCACAACATCGATGTTTAAACTTAGAACATCGATGTTTGGCAAGTAAACTTGAATTATTTGGACCAACAGCCATGAGAACATTGATGTTT